GACCTTACCTTATCTGATGCCTCATGATCCGAACAGCTTCTTCCACTCGTTTTCCACAGTCCCTCTAGTGCTGGTCTCTGGTCCAGCGCAGACTCTTTGTGTCCCATGGAGTCTGTCCGGCGTGCGTGCTCATGGCTGCCTGGCTGCGTCCATTCAGTGTCAGTGTTGCTCTCCTCCTCTCCCCTCCGTTGAACTGTACTGCGCATGCGCCCGCCCAAACGTCCTACTTCACAGCGTTCGGGAGCTGCTACTTCTGCAGGCAGGATAGAGCAGCCCTGACACAGGTAAGTTAGTGGGTATTTGCCAACTTTTTTAAAAATGTTGGGGCATATATCTACTGCTTACTAACAGTAGATATATGCCAAACAAATATAGACTTTAATACTACTTTAAGTGAGGACAACACACTTTATTTGTGAATTAGTGAACATACATAAAAAATATAACGCATAAATAGAGCAAACCAGTAAAGAAACAGTGTAACATGTGCAGGTTTAGAAAATATTAACTAAATACTATGTACAAAAAAACAAAATCTCAGGGAAATGAGCAGTAGAAAGTAGGGCAAAAGTGAGGTCAGCCAATGGGCAGGATGGCAGAGGGAAGAGCAAGTCAGGACAGATACAAGAAAGGCAGAACAGATGCGAAAACGGGCGCAATGCTAAGGCGAAGAACATTCAGGTAGTAGTTAAATAAATTCATCTGGCTGCTGGTGGACCCTGTGATTATTCCATTTCTGTCTAAGAACTACAGTGCCACCTGCAGGTTTTCTGTCTGTGCTACATGTTCCTTACATATTCACAAAAAGCTGTTACCAAAAAATGCCTGGTATACCTAAATTGCTTATTTGGTGCACACACAATGAAGTGGATGTGAAAAAGGGGATTATGGAAGTGATTGAATATTAACTCTTTTGTGTCCAGGGGTAGTCAAAACCTTCATGACCAGACCAAATTTTAGGTTATGGTATGCAGCAGTTAATTCAAAGGGTCATGTGACAAGTGAATGAGGATAGTTATAAACTAAGTAGTGTGCAGCTGCTTTTGGCGAAGGAAGGTGAAGTCTGCACCATAAGCTACCTCCTCCATGTGCCAACAACATACATGTGCTCATGCGCTGTCTGGAAGCTCTCACACCAGCCCTTTTGAGGCCATGCTGGGAGCTGCTGCAGAAAAGATTTGATGTCATAGGACTAGCTCCCTGAACCAATACCCCTCTTTTGAATGGGCTGCCTTAAAGGGTTATTAAAGCCTCATGTTTTTGCATAAATCTACTGCTAGCAAGCAGTAGTTTTATGCAAAAACATATCTAAAAAAAAATTTTTTTTTAAAAAGGTTTAAAACGTACTTGTGTCTCCGCCGCGCGCTCCCATCTGAAGATTCTCGGGCAGGCGCATGTGAAGTTCAGATCTTCGGCAGGGAGACAAGGAGAGACGCAAGGTAAGTCAATGCAGCAGTGTGGATCCGCACAGACTCCATGTGACGGGAAGTGCAAGGAAGAGAGAGGAGTCAGTGCTGGATCTGAGACCGGCAACAACGCTGGGGGGACTCCTGAAAACTACTGGAAAGAAGAAGATGATGATCGGATCAAGAGGCATCGTTTAAGGCAAGTCCTTACACTAGTATGGGGCGGGGAAGGGGGGATTATCCTGTAATGTCACTTTAATGCAGTGCACAATAATGCATGGTAATGCACTGTGAAGAAGTGAATGTTCCCTTGCTTTTGGGACTTGGAACGTTTTGGAAGAAAATTACTGGGCCCTGGTCTCGCTAAGTTTGAGAACCACTGCTTTAAACCCACACACACCTCTGTGCAGCCAACCCCTGAAGATCAGATCAATCTCCAGAAGATGAGGTTGCACAGAAGAAAAGACTTGCATTAAAATCCTCCCAGCATGAAGAACTGCTCAGAAGGACATTTAAAGGATCTGAACTGTGGAAACTGTTCCTCTAAAAAAGGCAGGCAGGGGGCAAAAGACTAGTTACCTGTATTGCCAGTGGGTCTACCTTCAGCGATCTTTTCCCCATGACTGACTTACAATGCCTATGTCTGCGTGGAGGTGATCATCTTGATAGAGGCAAGGCTTCCTTATATCTGAACTACCCCTGATGATTGGTGGTTTGATGCCTGATGGAGGAATAATCGAGCAATAACAGGAGAAAAGATTCAGAAAGCAGAGGATGAATGAAGCAGGAAGATATATGAACTACAGCTTTCACTCCAGCAAGGAGAACAGTGAGCAGCACAGTAGTGACATCACTAAACCTCACTGCAAAGCTCCCAAGACTAGCAGCCACAACCTTGCCTTGGATAATTTCATCCTGCAGCTGTACAGCTGTGATACTGATATGGCATGGTAGTGCATAGGCACAGGAAGTGCACTGCTATTTTTCAGGATTAATTCAAGACAAGGTACATTTTCAGGGTACTGCTTAGGCACAATTAACATTTCTGCGCGCTCCCTATAACATAAAAGATCTTTCACATTTTGAATTTGGGTCCAATTTAATTTGACATGAGGGGAGGGTTTAAACATTTGGACTGCTAACATCATCTTTTATGGTGTATGAAGTTGGGCTGTATTATTGAGGATTGTGGTTTCTGCACAAATAAAATCATTTATTAGCTCCAGTTTAAATGAAAAGTAGGATGCTATTTCATTGAGTGTTTGTTGAAATCACTAAAAACAACCAGGTTACAATGTTACTTCCTTGCACCATTGCAAGTTAAGGAAGTTAAAAGCCAATCTGTGTGTATTCCAGTTTTAATGTTTTTTTTCCACACACTTAGATTACAAGTGTCCCAGAATTTAATAAGGCCACATACAAAATTATCAGCGAGGAATGGCACCTGGTAGATATCGCTATCTACCACAAGAATTATGTATAAATGATGCATGTATGAGACAAAAAGTACATGTTGGCCATTGAGACTGTTTAACAGTGCTTTCCAAAAAGTTATGTGGTAAACAATTGTTAAAGGATAACAAAACCCAAGAACATAAATTGAATAAATTGTAGCTTATTAGCCCTTAGCCTGATATATGAAAACCAACGCAACCACCACATCTAAGAACATTTTCAGCAAGTACGGATAATACCTGTAAATCTTGCCAGAAATGCAATGTTTTTGTCACTTACTGTTGGCTGAACTGAATGCAAAAACAAGGTTATCTTCCTTCTGTAGACTACTAA